GAGCCGAAGGCAGTCGCTTAACCAACTGAGCCACCCAGGCGCCCACTCATTATTTATATTCTAAAAGGGGGAGAAAGAAACACACATCCCCAAAAAAGATAATTTAAATAATAATAAATAAACAGATTAAATAATAAAACTTCATATTAAAGTAAATGCTATGAAGAAAACAAAACATTTGCAAAGAAAGAAGTAACTTAGAAGGAAATACATATATGTATATATGTATGTATGTATGTATGTATGTATACACACACACACACACACACAATTTATATCTAGTGCTGAAGAATCGACATTTGAGCAGAGACCTGAATGACAAGAATGAAACAGCCATGTGAAGATCCTAGAAAGATCTTTCCAGTCAGAAAAGGGGGGGGCAAGGAAGGCAAGACAAAGACCTCAAGTCAGGAATGAGTTTGGTAAGTTTGAGGAGCAGAAGGAAAACCAGTATATCTGGGATATAATGAGAGAGGAATGAAAAGCTAGGGTCAGAGAGAAAAGTGTGCAGGCCTGTGACCACCAGGGTAAGCAGTTTTGCCTTTTTTTTTTTTTTTTTTTAGTTTTAATAAAAAGCCACTGTTGGGTTTTAAGCAGATGCATGATAAAATCATATTTAATATTTAAAAGATCACCAAGACTTTCTATGGAGAATTGACTATGGGAACATAGAAATGGAAAGTAGAGATAAGAGGCTACTATAGGAATCCATAGGGGAAATAAAGATTACATGAACCATGATGGAAGCAGGGAAGATGGAAGGAGCTTGATAGATTTGGGATATGTATTGATAGAATAACTTGCAGGATTTCCAAAGGATGGGATGGAGAGGTAGAGTGATTTCCTGGCTTTAGACTTGACCAATTTTATGAATGCTGGAGCCATTTGCCAATTTGAAAACAAGTGGTAAAACAGATTTCAGGGGTCATGGCAAGGAAGTCGAATATTATTCTAAATGCATTGGTCATCTATTAGTTGGTTTGAAGTAGTGGTGGGGATATAATTAAATACATACTTTAAGATCATTTTGTTACACTTTAGTGAATGAACTAAAAGAAAGGGAAGCAAGGATGATGCCTCAGTAACTGGCTTGAGTAACTGGGTAGATGATGGTGTCATTTTTTGAAAGCAGAGAAAAGGTATACAAGTTTTAAGAAAAAGATGAATTCCATTTGGGGCACATTAAATGTGAGATGTCTGTGAGACATTAAGTGATACTGACAAGTGCTGTTGGATATGTGGGCCTAAGGCTCACTACGAGAGGTCTGGGTCACGTATATAAATTTTGGAGTCATCAGCTTAAGATGTTACTGAATTTAATGTGTGTGGGTAAGATCATTTAGGGACAAATTAAAAAAAAAAGGGGGGGGGGGGAGAGGGGCTATAGCCAAGTGCTGAGGATCAACATTTAGAATAAGGTAAAAAAAAAAAAAAAAAAAAAAAACCAACAAAAAAAAACACAATAGCAAAAGACCGTGTGAGGAGTTCCCATTGTGGTAGGGGGAAGCCAAGAAGAATATGAAGCACAAGCTAGAGAGGGGAGTGTTAAAAAGTACGTGTGTGTGTGTGGGGGGAGGTGATAGTTCATTTTGCAAATGCAGCTGAGAGGCTGAGTAAAAAGAGAATAAAGCCACATCTCTTTGATTCAGCAAATTGGAAGTTGTTAGTGCTGTGTCAAGATCAGTTAAGTGGAGTGAGTCTAGAAGTCACTCCAGTGGATGGACAGATAACTGGAACATTAAGGTAGCATGTGTAGACAAATCTTTCTGGATAGTTGTCTATAAAGAGAAATACAAAAATTAGGCTGTGGCAGAAGGCGGTCATGGGACTAAGTGAAAGTTATTGGAATAAGTATATATACTTTGAAAATGATTCTATGTAAAGGGACAGATTGGTTATGAAGGAGATACAAGATAACTCAGCTAATCAGGACTTGGAGCAAGTGAAAGGTGGTGGGAATATACTATGTATCATCCTTTTTGTCCCCAGATCCATCCTCCACTTTTCTTTGTTCTATTGTCTGTCCCAGGTATCTGATTTGTGTGGATTATATCAATAGATTCATGTGTCCCCTGGCTTTTGATTCGGTTTGACCAGTGGGAAGCTCCAGCAAGAGATCAAAGGGAGGGAGACAAATGAGGTCATGGTTTCTATCTACATGGAAATATTCTGTAGTTGGGTTAGACTGGTTGTATTTCTCAGCTGAAATCACTTCTCTGCTCTAAGTGGCATCCTGTGTTGGAACCCTGCCTAATACAAGAATCGGAACATAATTATTAGAACTGGCCCAATAAGCAGAGTTCTAGTTCCTCTATAGCAGTAGACAAAGGAAGAGAAAATGAATACAGGTAGATGAGTTTGGTGGGGTTTGCAGTGGGCATGTAAGGGCATGACATGTGATTGCTTTTGTTTTCTTTCAGAAGTAATCAACTAAGTATTAGAGCAGGAAGTTGTGAGGTTAAAGAAGAATGGATAAAATGTCCATCTCATAGAGTTGAAAATAGATCCTACCATCAAACATTTGAGGGTATTAATTGTAAGTGTAAACAATTAACATTGTTCAGCTCTTTGGGAGTTGGCATGGTGAAAAAAAATGTCATGTAAGGCATGTTTTTTGTAAGGCCAAGTACGCTAGCACAAAAGTGGTGAGAGACTTGAAGATGTGTATAGCATAGAAATTATGCTAATGGACCATGAGACCTAGGCCAGACAAGGTTTGGAGGTCAGAAGTGAGGTTAGAAAGGGATTGATGGATAGTGGGAAAGTGTAGGGGGTCACTGGGTTAGAGGTCTTTATAGGACCAAAGAATTATAGGCATGGGTGTGATTGAACAATGAGCTAGATGAATGAGATTTTAGAAATCTTAATATAGAGATAGATCATTTTCTGACAATTGCAGAGTGTAGCTGTGTTCATGGGAGAGAGAAGCTAAATCCTAGTGAGGGAAAGGATTTGACAATGAGGAGGTAAAAGGACGGAGACACCATGTTGGATGCTTCATGTAGGTGGATTTTGAATACAAAGAGAATAATGATAAGAGTTGGGAAAGAAAGCAAAATTGTCATCCAGTAGGTAAACATTTGAAAAGTAAAGGCTTCCCTTCCCACTTAGTACATCTTCTGATTCAGATTTCACTGGATAACAGCAACTGTAAAGAGAGAGCGTGGTATAGTAAAATGGCATGAGCCTTAGAGGAGCAGAAGCATGAAAGAGGGAAGAAATGATCTGGGGGTAGCAATGAGGGTCAAGGAAGACACCAAATGTGCCTTTGTGCCTGAGTGATGGAAGGGTGACACTAAAGAAATCTCCATGAAAGAGGGCTGAAGGAGAAGCACTGTTATTGGGATATGGTCCAATAAAGCAGAAAGATGGAAGGGCATTCCAAAAATTAGTTGAAAATGTGGAACAGTGTGCTGATCTCTAAACAGGAGTTCTTTAGCATTCAGTGGCAGTGTGTGGGAACATCAGAACAGCAACTGGTCAGGCTAGAGTGTGTATGAAACAGTAGAGGGATAAGCCAGGTCAATGGGGTGGGAAGAAAAATGGAATTAGTCTTATTTCTGAGGTGAGTATAGGCAAGAGGACACATTACTATCATATCCAAAATGCCCTTAGGTGTGATGACCCTCATGGGATGATTGTTGTTCTCCAGGGGTCAGGAAGAGGGTAATCACCTTTCTAGACAGACTGGCAGGGCAACCTCCTCTAAATTTTTCCACTCTGCAGTATCTTTCTCTAAGAGAGCAAATTCCAGAGGCTTTACCCATGGTCAGATAGTAAGTATTAGAGCCAATTGCACTCTGGTTTATTCACAGGATACCCTGTTCCACCTGCCCCACAAAAATATGCTAACACATAGATTCTCTTAGTACTTAATTAAACATGAATTTTTAATAGGGCCTGTTGTGCAGAGCCTTACAGGATTTGGCTCCTCACTCTCTCTTCATTCGGACCTTATTCAACTGATTCCCTCACTTCCTGGATGTGACTTCAGTCACTCTGATGGCAAGAGTCCTCTTTCTGGAACACACCAGTATCATATTGGCCTCAGGGCTTTTACTTGCTGCGTCCTTGACCTGAAATGCTCTTCTTTCAGATTTTCAAATGGCTAAACTCTTTCTCATCTTTTAGGTTCTACCTCATCTCTCATCTCCTCAGTAAAGACTTCCAGACATATTACTCAATATTGTCTTGTCCTCTCTTATCTTGCCAAGTACCTTAAGGTTGTTCTGTATCCTATTGCCCTATTTTATGCTTTCATGCCATTTATCAGCATCAGAAGTTATGTGTTCTATTTCTTTAGACATTTATTATTGATTTCTTCATCTATATCATGAACTTTATGACTCAGAAATTTCTCTTTTATATAGAGGAGGGCTGGCTCATAGTAGGTGCTCCATAAAATGTTGTTGGATGAATGCATAAACACTTGATAAATGTTGTTTCTTTTTCTATATTCCAAAGTAAGTTACTATTTTTTTCTATAAATATAGTAGTTACAATTTTTATATTTGTTAGGACGAAATGTGGTAATATGTAAAAGTCCCTACTCCAGTTTTCAGTGCATAGTAGGCAATTAGGTAGTGAGTTTTTTTCATTCTTTCATCAATATATCCCACTGAAATAGCACAGCAGATATTGAATAAGTGATATGATTCAAATTGGGATATTGTAATCATGTGAAATTGGATCTTAATGTATTACGTATTTTATAGCATATATCACATTATATATTACTTCTTACATATGATATAAGATAAAAACATATTTTTATTATATAGTCATGGTGAAATTATTATAGTTAAATATTCTCTTTTGAAGCACAAATATTCCCAAAGTAGTCTGCCTTCTTAGGATTTCACCCTATATTAATTACAATTAGCAAAAATAAAATTGTTGTTCTAAATTAATGTGAAATATTCTATCTTCTAAGGCAAGCTATAATTCTCATAGTTTCATGATTAACTAATACCTCCTACCTTCATGTTTACTGTTTCCAGGAAGAACCCTACGTCCTGTTTAAGAAATCTGACAAACCTCTCTATGGGAATGATCGATTTGAGGGCTACTGCATTGACCTCCTCAGAGAGTTATCTACAATCCTTGGCTTTACATATGAAATTAGACTTGTGGAGGATGGGAAATATGGAGCTCAGGATGATGCCAATGGACAGTGGAATGGAATGGTCCGTGAACTGATTGATCATGTAAGTCTCTTTTCTCATTATTATCATTACCTCTGGTTGACTTCTAAAAGGTTTACTTTTTAAGAATTTTTTGATGGTCAGGGGTTAATGACACGAGCAATAATATATTTCAAGTATGTATATCCTTAAATAATTCTATTGAAAATATATATTATTTTTGCCCTTAAATATAAAGAATCTAAGAGGGATGTGTGGTTCTATTGGAGACAGTTGTCTGTTTTAAATTAACTAGTATTTAGTGATTTAATATCTTAAAATATTTAGTCCTAATTAGCAAATTACAATGTGGATGCCCAACAATTTATTTCTTTTTCACTTTTATAATGCTAAGTTCATAATCAACAGAAGGAATAGTGATGCAAACTCTAAATATTATGATAAAAAATTTCCTAGACTAGGATAGGATACTTCTTATCTTTATTTTTTATTTTTGATATTTCTTATCTTTAGAGGATAGGATAGTTCTTATCTTTAGAGTAGAGATGAAAGAAATCTATAAGGATAGAATATGATACTGTATCAAAATAAAGCAAGTATATTAAGCATATTGAAGCAGGAGGATAGACATTTTATTTTAGTTAGTTGAATAAGCCAGACATTCCTTCTTTGGCATTATTTCATAACTTATAATTTTATAACTGATAATTTTCATTTATAATGAAAACATTATTTCATAATTTCTCAGTCAGTAATATCAATTAACTCATCCCTTTGAAATATGCTCTTATGTAAAAAAATAATAACATGGCCTTTGGTTTTGTGTTTTGTAATATTTAAGTTTCTTTTGACATTTTGCATAATATTAAGGCATGTAATCCTTGCTAAATATTCTACAAAATAACAAAATATATTTTCCTTTAAAATACAGTGTGAACTAGGGTGCCTGGGTGGCTCACTTGGTTAAGCGTCTGCCTTTGGCTCAGGTCATGATCCTGGGATCCTGGGATCGAGTCCCACATCAGGCTCCCTGCTCATCTGGAAACCTGCTTCTCCATCTCACCCCCACCCCTGCTCATGCTCTCTCTCTCTCAAATAAATAGATAAAAATCTTAAAAAAAAAATACAATGTGAACTGTATCCTAAATGAAAGTTCTTACTAATGGAAGTAGCAAATATAGGCAGATTTTGCAGGATTTTGAAATATTTCTTTTTTTTTAAGATTTATTTATTTATTTATTTGAGAGAGAATGAGATAGAGAGAGCATGAGAGGGGGGAGGGTCAGAGGGAGAAGCAGACTCCCTGCTGAGCAAGGAGCCCGATGCGGGACTCGATCCTGGGACTCCAGGATCATGACCTGAGCTGAAGGCAGTCGCTTAACCAACTGAGCCACCCAGGCGCCCTTGAAATATTTCATTGCTATTAATTATGAAGTTCATTATCAAGAATAAAGGAATAAGAGAGATCTGAATCTATCTATATGTATGTATTGTGTATGTATGTATGTATCTCTCTGTTTATCTATCTATATATCATCTCTCTATCAAGAAGGAGATGTTAGGCTTTGGTTGGAAGCAGAATAACAACACAAACAATCATTTTTAAAATTTATTTTTCTTTAAATCTTCAACATACTTCTTTTAATGATTTGAAATTTACTCAGTAAGGTCCTAAAATTCTAGACTCGATCAATTATTTTTAAAAAATTCTGCTTAAACGGTCCATTTATATTTTAACTTTGTAAAATCCATTAATGATGATGACAATGTATATGATTTGGAATCAAATATAAAACCTTAAGCTTTATGTTCATTTCTATTAATATAGCAGTAACCATCAAAAATCTTAATTCAAGCGTTTAAGCAAAAATGTTAATTTTTTGGTTTGCATATTTGAAAAGTCCAGAGGTAGTGTGGCTGGATTTAGATTATCAATATTCAGTTTTTCTGATATTTTGCCTCAATTTAGTCTTTGCTTCCTTTTATTTGTTTTACTCTTGGACATGTGCCTCCCAACAGGTGGCAAGAACAGTTGCCACCAACAGTTCTAGATCAAACATCCAGGTAGAAGTAAAACACCTGGATGGTGTTTCATCAAGAGACCCCAAATTTGTTTTCATTGGCCTGAGGTAGGTCATAAACTAAATCCTGAACCAGTTATCCCATTCAGAAGGAAGTGTTATTCTCACTGGATAGTGTGGGACCATATATATATTCATTCAAGAAAGTAGGAGGTGGGGTCAACCTCTTTTTAAAACCATGTAGATTTAGATTTGAGGAACTATGGGTTTTTAAAGGAAAATTAGAATTTTTATACCTGGAGAAAGTAGAGTGGATGCTGCACAGATCAATACAATGGATATCTACTATCAGACCTTTGCGTAAGTAGCTTATAGGAAGCTTTTATTTTAGTCAGCGCACAGGAGTTTTAGATCACCATTGCCTTTATGTATATATTTGTCATAGGTGTTCAATTAATGCTCTTTTAATTAAGCTTTTTGAGATTCAAAATGGATTGAAGGTTTTAGTTTTCTAGAATTTGTTCCTTTTTGATTTCTTATCTATATTTCTTCAAGGAAATTAAAAGTAAAAAATGAAGGTTAGGAAATAATTATTTAGATCTATGGCATAAAAGATGATAGAACACCAAATAAGGGAATAGTAAGGGGGATATTATCAGTTAATATTGGTTTCTCAAGAAAATTACCTGTGGTATTGAGTTGAGACCACTGATGAAGGCTTCAAGTTACTGAATCATTCTATTCTTCTTGGTGCCAAATCTGTCACTTCACCTTCCATTTTTCCCTTACTAGCATCCCCTTTCTTGGTGCCCTCCTCATGTCTCATATTGCTGATCTAGCCTTGGTTTTTCATATTTAGCACGAGTCATATTAAAATAGAATGATGATTACAGTTGGTATATTTTTCTTTGTACAACCTCAACCTGGTTTGCATATTTATGAATATGTTAATTTCAACACAAGATAGTAACTCCTACTGATAACCAGATAAATACCCTAAACTTCTTGCTCTCATTGCTTTCCTTGGATAAGCTTACCTTGTCTCATAGTTTGATTACCTTTCTCCTACTGAAATTTTATCATTCTGTATCTTCAGCCCTGAGCCTTAGACCCATATATCAACCCACCTCTGTTATATTTTTTGCTTAAATGTTTCATAAGCATCTCAAAGGTAGCATATTCCAGACTGAATTTATTATTTCTCTTTCTTGAAGCTTTCCTTTTTGAAGAGTTTCCTAGTACGTGGAGCAATGATTCAATAGATTGCCCAAGCCAAAATTTAGTAGTAATTTTTTAATTGTCATTTTTAAATTATTTCTCACTCCACCATGTTCTATTGAGTGTGCTCCTTAAATAATTTCAAAACTTGCCTACTTATCTCCATCTCTGCTGTCATCTGGAATAATAACCCAATATGAGGTCCTTTCCTTTCTAACCCATTATCTGTGTGTGTGGGTGTGTATGTGTGTGTATTACTGAAAGATTTTATGCAAGAAAAGGGCATGATCAGAGTTTCCTGTTTCAGAAGGAAAATCTGATCATGCCCTTCTCTTGCAATAAAATCTTTCAGTAGTTTCCATTGTTCTAAGGATATAGGACCAACTATATATTTATAAAAACCCTTCCATATTTGGTCATTGTTTATCTGTTATGGAAATCTTCTTTTTACCCTGCAGATCTAGTCTCAGATCTTCTCCACCATACTTTCTATATTGGGAGGTTGTCTTACATGGTGTAAATCAACAGGGTTCCCAGCAAGAGATCCAAGGGAGGGAAGAGAGTGAGGTCAGAATATTTATTTCCCTCCTCACTCCCTGAGATGTTGCCTTGAGCTGGCTGCATCCTTACAAGGAACTTCAGTTTCTCATTATGATGCCTGCTCTGCACAAATCTCTCTCCTGTTCTCAGTTCCAGTTTACACCATACATAGCTTTGTTTCTTCAGATCTTAGGAGTAGTTACAGTTTAGCTGCTGTTAGCCTTAGGATCCTGCACTACCCCTTAAAATTTCCTGACACCAGTGGTCTTTGAAGTGTGTTCCACAGACCTGCAGAATCAGTATCAGTTTCAGACTTGCTAGAAATGCAAATTTTCAGGCCCTACCCTAGAACTACTATATAAAACTCTGGGGTGGAGACTGGTAGTCTTTCTTTTAACAAGCTTCAGTGGTGATTCTGATATTCTCTGAAGTTTGAGAGTCAATGTCCTACCCACCACCCAGACTTGTGTAATTAACTAGTTCCTTTGTAAATAAATCCTGCTCAGTTATTATCATTTGAGTGTGCCATCTGTTTTCTATTGAGACTCTAATTGGCACACCTTTCTATATTTTCATCTATTCTGCCCTCTCCAGCCAAACCCATGTGGACTTTTTAAAGTCTTGTTCTCTTTTGCTTCTAGCCTAGTTCTCTGTGCATCACTCTCCTCAACCTCCACCTCAATCACTTCATCTGAATTATTTCTATTTAACTTCGGAAACACTTCCCCAGTGATGCTTCCCCACCCCACCCCAGAAAGCCCACCTGCTATGAGTTTTTACACTACCCTTCTTGCATAACATCTGTCACACTTTAATTACCAACTTCATAATATCTGTCACACTTATTTATATGTAAGTTGTATGGTAGTTATACAATCAATCAGGACAATTTCAGGTGCAGGTGTCAGAAACATGTCTAAAAATAGCTTACAAAAATATACTTTTTTAAAAGTCCCATAATACTAATGGTGGTTCTCACTTCAAGTGTAGTTGACTCCAGGGTCTTACAGTATGTCATTAATGATTGACCTTTCTTTTGCTGCCTTGTTATCTCTTGGCTTTACTCTCCTCTCTGTATGTTTTATTTATTTATTTTTTTAGATTTTATTTATTTGAGAGAGAGAGACAGAGATAGTGAGAGAGAGAGCACAAGGGGGGAGGAGAGGGAGAAGCAGGCTCGCCACAGAGCAGGGAGCCCGATGTGGGACTTGATCCCAGGACCCTGGGATCATGACCTGAGCCGAAGGCAGACGCTTAACTGACTGAGCCACCCAGGCGCCCTCT